CAGAGTTAGGGGACAGGATCCCCCGCCCGAGCAAGAGGAAATCCCCATTTCTGCACTGGTGCCAAAATCGGTAGAGCAGTCTTTTGTTGGAGGTCCATCAGGGGCCGCTCCGGCTGTGCCCACTATGCCAGGAGATCCTAACTTCCAGCAGACTTTGGAGTTGTTGACTCAAGCTCTATCCAGGACTGGGCAGTCCAGAGATCCCTCCCTGGGATACGCTGATCAAGCTAAGAGAATAGGGGCCACAGATTTTGATAGTGATGGTGATCCAACAGTGGCTGAGGAGTGGATAGAAAGGATGGAGCGAATCATGGAAGTGATGAGGGTTCCCTAGAATCACAGAGTAGCCCTAGCCACTTTCTTTTTGGTCAGAAATGCTAGACATTGGTGGGAATTAGTAAAAAGGATATATCGGGATCCATCAGCCATCACTTGGCAATTATTTCGAGCTGCATTTGATAGTCAGTATTATCCACTAGCTTACCAGAATTTGAAAATGGAAGAGTTTCTGCAGCTGGAGCAGGGAGCGATGACGGTACTTGAGTATGAGAAGAAGTTCAATGAATTGTCTAAGTATTGTATTCCACTAGTAGAGGATGAAAACAAGAAGTGCCAGTTGTTTACTAGAGGGTTAAAAGCCTTCATTCGAGACATTGTGATTAGTCAGCGGCTGACTAACTTTGGGGATTTGGTGATGTCTGCTTCGCTGATAGAGAGCAGTCAGTTGATGGTCAGAGCGCGGGGTGAACCTCGCAGGAGACAGTTTGACATGGGTGGTCCCAGTCAGGGGTCATCCAAGAGAGGCAGTTTTAGCTCGGGGTCGTCTAGTGGCCCCAGTTATGGAGGTTTTCAAACTGGAGCCAGTTCTAGTGGAGGTTCCAATCAGAGTGGTAGTTCTGGGAACCGTTCCGGGGGTAATACAACTAGAGGTTCTGGGAGACAGTCGCAGCCAGCAGCTGGCAGGAGGAGGAATCCTCGGTGTGCTGAGTGTGGTAGGTTCCATATTGGGACTTACCGACAGGGCATTACTGGGTGTTTTCATTGTGGTCACCCTAGACATTTTCTGAGGGAGTGCCCAATGTTTCTACAGGGTGGAGAGATTACAGTTGCATCGACTCGTGGGACGGGCACTCAGGGCGGATCTCAAGGGATATCTCAGTTTGGAGGGGCCTCGTCTAGTGCTGGGGCCCAAACCAGTGTTGCTAGCAGGGGCGGCAGTCAACAGAGGGGACGTGGTGGACGTTCCGAAGCTACAGGCAGGGTGTATAGTATGTCCCAGCAGGAAGCACAGGCGTCACTTGATGTGATCACAGGTATTTTACCAATTTTTGGAGTTCCTGCTAGAGTTTTGATTGACCTTGGGGCTACGCATTCCTTTGTTACACCTAGTTTCGCCCACAATGCTAATGTAAGACTTTCAGCCTTACGGAACGAACTAGCGATCTCTATGCCTACAGGAGAAATTTTTAAGGTTGGTATGGTGTATCGAGATAGTATGGTGTTAGTGGGAGATGTATTTCTAGAGGCAGATTTGATTCCATTGGAAATGGTTGACCTGGATGTCATTCTAGGGATGGATTGGTTAGCCAGACATCATGCCTCAGTAGATTGCTTCTGAAAAGAGGTTGTTTTCCGTAGTCCCGGACGACCTGAAGTGACTTTTTATGGCGAGCGCAGAGTGCTTCCATCTTGCCTCATTTCAGCTGTGACGGCAAAACGGTTGCTTAGAAAAGGGTGCTCAGGATATTTAGCACATGTGATTGATACCAGAGATAAAGGGTTGAGATTGGAAGATGTTCCAGTGGTACAAGAGTTTCCGGATGTATTTCCTGAGGATCTCCCTGGGCTACCTCCTCACCGGGAGATCGAGTTCACCATTGAGCTCGTTCCAGGACCGAATCCTATCTCTCAAGCACCATGTAGAATGGCACCAGCAGAATTGAGGGAATTAAAGACTCAGCTGCAGGAGCTGGTAGATAAAGGTTTCATCCGACCTAGTTTTTCACCTTGGGGCGCTCCAGTGTTATTTGTTAAGAAGAAGGATGGAACCATGAGGTTATGTGTTGACTACAGACAGTTGAACAAGGTCACAGTGCGAAATAAGTATCCTTTGCCTCGCATTGATGATTTGTTTGACCAGTTAAAGGGTGCCAAGGTATTCTCTAAGATTGATCTGAGATCTGGGTATCATCAGTTACGGATTAGAGAAGAGGATGTGCCTAAGACAGCTTTTCAAACGAGATATGGGCACTATGAGTTCTTGGTGATGCCATTTGGGTTGACGAATGCGCCAGCTGCGTTTATGGATCTCATGAACAGGGTGTTCTGACGTTACTTGGATCGCTTTGTGATTGTGTTCATAGATGACATTCTGGTGTATTCCAAGAGTCAGAAGGCACACATGAAACACTTGGAAATTGTGCTGAAGACTTTGAGGAGGAGGCAGTTATATGCCAAATTCAGTAAATGTCAGTTCTGGCTGGATAAAGTTAGTTTCTTGGGGCATGTAATCTCTGCAGAGGGTGTTTTGGTTGATCCCCAGAAGATTGAGGCAGTAGTTAACTGGCCACGACCAACCAGTGTTACGGAGGTACGGAGTTTCCTTGGGTTAGCCGGGTACTATCGTCGCTTCGTGGAAGGGTTTTCTGCTATAGCGGCGCCTCTCACCCGTTTAACAAGGAAAGGAGTGAAGTTTGAATGGTCAGATGAGTGTGAGGAGAGTTTCAATGAACTCAAGATCAGGTTGACCACCGCTCCGGTTTTAGCACTTCCAGATGATAGCGGGAACTTCGTTATCTACAGTGATGCATCTCAACAGGGACTTGGTTGTGTGCTAATGCAGCATGGTAGGGTGATCGCTTATGCTTCTAGGCAACTTAAGAAGCATGAGTTGAATTACCCTGTTCATGATTTGGAGTTAGCTGCAGTGGTTTTTGCCTTGAAGATTTGGCGACACTATCTTTATGGAGAAACCTGCCGGATTTTTACAGATCAAAAAAGTTTAAAGTATTTATTCACTCAAAAGGAGCTGAATTTGAGGCAAAGAAGATGGCTAGAGTTGATTAAAGATTATGATTGTACCATTGAGCATCATCCAGGAAGAGCTAATGTTGTAGCTGATGCACTCAGCAGAAAATCCTCAGGATCTATAGCTTATATCAGAAGGAGATATGTGCCAATTATGGTGGAGATGAGGAAGCTCAGAGTTGAGCTAAGTATGGATGATCAGGGAGCATTGTTAGCTACTCTCCATGTGAGACCAGTACTAGTGGAGCGAATAGTCGCCGCCCAATCCCAGGATCCTTTGATTTGCACATTGCGATTAGAAGTGGAGAATGGTGACAGAACTGATTGTTCAATAAGAAGTGATGGAGCTTTAATGGTGGGAACCATATTATATGTCCCTAATGATCAAGCCTTAAAAAGGGAAATTCTTGAGGAGGCTCATAGTTCAGCTTTTGCAATGCATCCTGGAAGCACTAAAATGTATCATACCTTAAGAGAGCATTACTGGTGGCCTTTTATGAAGAAAGAGATAGCAGATTATGTCAGTAAGTGCTTAATTTGCCAGCAAGTGAAGGCTGAACGGTAGAAACCATCAGGGTTATTGCAACCACTTCCAATTCCTGAATGGAAATGAGAGCATATTACCATGGATTTCGTGTTCAAGCTTCCCCGAACACAGAATAAGCATGATGGAGTTTGGGTAATCGTGGATCGACTCACTAAATCTGCTCATTTTCTACCAGTGAGAGCAAACTACACCCTAAACAAGTTGGCTAAGATCTTCATAGATGAGATAGTGAGACTTGATGGAGTACCAGTATCTATTATTTCAGATAGAGATCCACGGTTTACTTCCCATTTTTGGGCGAGGTTAAATGAAGCTTTTGGAACTCAATTGCGGTTTAGTATTGCATTTCACCCCCAGATAGATGGTCAATCTGAGAGGATAATCCAAACTTTAGAAGACATGCTGAGAGCTTGCGCACTGCAGTTCCGGGGTGACTGGGATGAGAAGTTGCCACTTATGGAATTTGCTTATAATAACAGTTACCAGGTGAGCATTAAGATGTCCCCATATGATGCCTTGTATGGGAAACAGTGTAGAACTCCGTTCTATTGGGATGAAGTGGGTGAGAACAAATTGGAGGTGTCCGATGATGTTGAACGGACAAAGGAACAGGTGAAAATAATTAGAGAACGACTCAAGGCAGCCCAAGACCGACAGAAGAGTTATGCGGACAATAGAAGGAAAGACCTTCAGTTTGAGATTGGTGATTGGGTATTTCTGAAGTTATCACCTTGGAAGGGTATAATGAGATTTGGAAGGCGGGGAAAACTAAGTCCTCGCTATATTGGGCCTTATGAAATCGTGGAGCGTGTTGGCCCAGTGGCTTACAGGCTTGCTTTACCTTCAGATCTTTCCCGGTTGCACGATGTGTTTCATGTTTTAATGCTCCGGAAGTATATTTCTGATCCTTCTCATGTTTTGGAGGAACAACCAATATAATTGCAAGAAGATTTGACTTATGTGGAGCAACCAGTTCAGATTTTGGATTGGAAGACGCAAGTTTTACGATCGAGAGAGATCCCTCTTGTGAAGGTCTTATGGAGAAGTCATACTGTGGAAGAGGCTACATAGGAATCCGAGGACCAAATGCGGGAACAGTACCCTTACCTCTTCGAGTGACAGGTACGTAAATTTCGAGGACGAAATTTTTATAAGGGGGGGAGATTGTAATAACCCAAACTTTAATTAATATTTAACTATTACTTTATTAAGGAAAAATGACACTTTTGCCCTTAGACTATTTTAGTATTTGAGAAGTTGACTTTTGACCAGAGAAAAGTTTGGAAATTTTGTTTGCACCGTTGCGTAGAGTGCGACAAAACGAGTTCGTAGACATGCGGCACGCTCGATTCCGAGCTGTAACGAAGGAGGAAAGGTCTATAAACCAAAAGGACGTAATGAGAATTTTAAAATTGTAGGTGCTACAGTGTTGCTACAGTAATCGGGTGTATTTCTCCTTCTTCCTCGCGAGAGAGACCAGATTTTCTGGTTCTCTCTCTCTCTCCGCACACACTCACCTTCAAGCGACAATTTCGCCGCCATCCGAGATCCGTTTTGAGTGAAATTTGTTGCAAAAGTTTCGTATCGTTGTCCTCTACCTAACCCAGCCCAGCTCCGACGCCAGCCGCAGCGAAACCACAGGAAAATTCGAAGGAAGTTGCCGGTTTTGACAGAATTTTCCAAGCTTACGTTCTCCCTCAATTCTCCACCAAATCGGACGTGTGAGGTATGGTTTTCCAGCTATTTTTCGTAACTTAGCTGCTGGTCGGGTTAGATTTCAGAAATTTTAAGCATAGAGCGTTCTATTTTCAACTTAAGTTTCAGCCGGTTTTGAGGGTAGGATTCCGGCCACTTCCGGCCACTTTTTGGGGTAGGTCCAAGAACAAAAGTGGTTCCAAATTGGGTGTTTTATCTAAGTTAGGAGTTTGGGGCGGCGGTTTGGAGTTTTTCCGGCCGCCGGAAATTTCTCAAACCACCCAAACTGCCGGAGCGTGTGGCGGCACGTGGGCAGTCTAGTGGGAACAATTCTCAGTTTCAAAATGATCCTAGTATTCTCACGAGTGTGTAGAAATTTGCGGATCTCAATTCGGACGTCGTTTGAGTGTTAAGCGGACTTTTACATAGTATGCGTTATCCGGTTCAATAGTTTCGAACCGTTGGATCGTGACCACTTTAAGATATGTTAATTTAGACCTTACCAGGATTGTGTAGGATTCAACAGATCATGAATCGGAGTCCCGGATACTCCGGAATCATGAACCCTAGGGTTAAGGTTTTAGAATTGTCGATCGTGTGATCATGACGAATCTAACCGTCCGATCGAAACCAGATTCACGGGACGAATATCCTAGGATTAAAGAAACGTAATGTGGGCATAGGAATAACTTTTAATTGATGCACGCACTTCTAGAAGCCGGGGGTCAGGGTTTTATTTAAACATTTATACCGAGCAATTTTATTAATATATTTTCTTCTGGTATTTGAATCAGGCACTCGGGCACCAGTTGACCCACAGGAGGGACCTTCCAAAGGTCCAGCGAGCTTGGACCAACCGTGAGTAGACTCTTTGTTTTCATAAATGAATTTATTCAATTTAGTTTCAGTATTTGATCTTGAATAAGTTTTATTCAAATAATAGTGTTTTATAAGTGAGACATGCTTTTAAATATTTTGATTTGCATGCTGCCAAGTGGAATATCCTTTAGAGATATAGAAAAAGAGAATTTTAGCTAAACATCAGATAAATGGCAACAGAGTCCAGCCTTAACAGAAATTCAGTTATTTATCAGATCTTTCAACAAACTTTGCTTATTACTATTATTATTATTTTCTAAGCCACCTTAGGTGGATATACAGATATTGCCTTCGGATATGATGATGTCCACGGACATCCAGGTTGCCTTTGGATTTTATCAGTTGCCTTCTGTTTAGTCAGCATGCTTGACAGTTGCCCCACGAGTTCCTTGGTCCCCGAATCCTGCCAGTTTGCGGCTCAGGTTGACTCTGTGTCACCGAGACCGGCCAGGGGAATTGACGGATATCAGGAATTGATGGCAAGTAAGGAATTGACGGAAATAGAGGGGTACACCTAAGTGGTAGTTTTAAACGGATTTTTAAGGGGTACACAAGATTAATGTTAACCATGAATATGATTGGTATATAATGCATAAATACATTGATTTCAGCATGTGTATGATAAAGAAAATGAGTGAGTTTTGTATAATTGTATTTTTACTGTGGGGTTAGTATGTTCTTACTTATTTTCTAAACTTTGTTTTTGGGGTCCACTCACCTTTTTAATGTTTTGCGCCCCCA